CTTAGGGTGGTAAGGCGGTGAAGGCAAGACGCCGTTCTCCATCATCCTCTCTAACTTGATCCAGGCAGCAGCAGTTAGAGTAAGCACAAGGGAGCTTGAGGTGGAAGCCACAGCCGTCAGTGGATCTGGGCTGGGAAAGCTGGAGGGAAAAGTTCAGGGAACTGAGTGTTTAAAGTCATTTTGGCACTTTGCTGTTTACTAGTGGCCTCTCAAGGCACTGGCACCCTCATTATATTTAAAGGTACAGAACTGTGAAAATATTAAGATATGTTTGGGAGGGCTTGGGGAGCATCGGAATTGCACGAGGGCTGATGGGAGAGAAAAGATGATTTGGAGTGAGGGAAGGGCTAATGGCCAGCCGTTCAGGTGACGCATTTCCTACGTCCTCACCCAAAGCTGATGCTGTTATGTAAACATCACAGATTTAATGGGAAACAAACAAACAAGATACAAAACAAAAGTTACTTTTGAAGCAAGGTCTCACTATATATCCCCAGGTGTCTCAGGATTTACTCTATATCCCAGACTGGTCTTGTGGCCCAGAATAAAGAATTGGACAGAGACTCAAATAGATGGACAGTAGCTAGCAAAGTAAGAGAAGCTGCTGAGAAAACATATACTGGGTCTGTGGAGAGATGGCTCAGCCTTAAAAGTGCTTGCTGCTCTCACACAGGACCCTAGTTTGCTTTCCAGCACTCACACGGAGAGGCTCCTAACCACTCTGGATTCAGGGATCCAATGCCCCCTAATGGCTCCCACAGACATTGCACACATGTGCACAGGTATACACACACACACACACACACACACACACACACACACACACACACACACTAAAAATTAAATCTTTCTTTAAAAATTAGAAAAAGAAGCCGGGCAGTGGTGGTGCACGCCTTTAATCCCAGCCCTCGGGAGACAGAGGCTGAAGGATCTCTGAATTTGAGGCCAGCCTGGTTTATAGAGTGAGTTCCAGGACACCCAGGGCTACACAGAGAAACCCTGTCTTGGAAACAAACAAACAACAAAAAACAAAAGCAAACAAGAAAGAAAGGTTCCAAGAGAAGAAATGGGCAGAGAGTGAGTTCGCTAGCTCAAATAGCGTCACAGCACAAAGGATTGGAGCTCATTTGCATAGTGTGGGCTTTCCTGAGCATGCCTTGCCTGTTACATGTAGTTCCATATGTAATTTCATCCATCACATGCCTCATTAGCCTCTTAAATTCCCACCAGGTCTGTGAGCCACGGGTCACCTTCAGCCTCTCTGCAGTGGCTCTGCCACTATGCCAGTGGCTTCAGCCAGTTCTAGTTGGTCTTGGGATGTGTGTTCCAGGGTTTCTCTTTACTGACTTCTCTCCCAAGGAGATGCATGTGTTCCCCCCCAAACCCTCCCTCTTGCCTAACCTCTCAGAGACTAAGGATTGTAGCTTGGTTACCATTTATTTAATGGCTAATATCTACATAGAAATGAATACATACCATATTTATTTTTCTGGGTCTGGCTTACCTCATTCAGGATGAGTTTTTTTTTTTTCTAGTTCTATCCATTTGCCTACAAATTTCATGATGTCATTTTTCTTTTTTTTGAAAGAGTTCAGAATACCCCATCGGGTAAATTATCTCATTTTCTTTGCCCGTTCTTCTGTTGAGAGGCATCTAGGTTGTTTCCACTTTTTGGCTATTATGAACGGCACTGCAATGAACATGGTTGAACAAGTGTCCCTGTGTAGAGAGAAGCTTCCATTGGGTATTTGCCCAAGAGTAGTACACCTGGAGCTTGAAGTAGATTGACTCCCATCTTTCTGAGGAAATACCATGCTGGCTTTTATAGTGGCTGTGCAAGTTTGCACTCGCACCAGCAATGGAAGAGTGTTCCCATTGCCCTATATCCCACCTCACATTAGCTGTCACTTGTACCTATTGCCCTTAGTCACGTGACAGTTGAAAGATCGAATCTTAAAGTAGTTTTGATTTGCATTTCCTTGATGGCTAAAAGTGTTGAGCATTTTTTAAGTGTTTGTTTCTTAATGATATTTGAGTTTCCTCTGTAGAGAAGTCTGTTTATATCAAGTTTCTTGAGTTCTTTATATACTTTGGATATTAACCCTTTCTCAGATGTGGAGTTGGTAAAAATATTTTCCCATTCTTTAGGCTGCTGCTTTGTCCAAATGACAGTGTCTTTTGCCTTACAGAAGCTTTTCAGTTCCACGAGGTCCCATTTATCAATTGTTGATCTTAGTGCCTGCATTAGCAGAGTTCTGTTTAGAAAGTCATCTCCTGTGCTGAGGCATTCAAGGCTATCCCCCACTTTCTTTTCTGTCAAGTTCAGTGTATTTAGTTTTATGTTGGGGTCTTTGATCCATTTGGAGTTGAGATTTGTGCACAGTGAAAGATACGTATCTATTTGCATTCTTCTACGTGTATCTATTTGTATTCTTCTACATGACGACATCCAGTTTGATCAGAACCATTTGTTGAAGAAGTCTTTTTTTTTTTTTTTCCAGTGTGTATTTCTGTCGTTCTCCTCAATCCACCTGTCTTCTGCACTGGTAGGAAAAGTTAAAAGGATATGTGATGGGAACCACCAGCCCAGTACTTTCAAGTTCTTGATGGTGGCACTAATTTCTACAATTCTAGTCATGTGATACTGTTTTTAATTCACTATTTTCCCTGGAAGAGGCTACTCTAATGGCTTCCATTTAGCCTTTCCAACCTTAATAGCCTTATTCGCTGATCAGGGAGTCACTGTGAGAATTCTGCCAACTTCTAAGTATATCTATCCCAGTTATACATTCCGGACTGGGGAAATAATGACAGGATGTTTTCAGAGACTCACTGGACCTACTATGAGTTGGACTTCAACCAAAACTCCATTAATCATTTGACCTCCATAAGCCCCTATGGGCCTTCATAGGGTACAATGTTTCTTGCCATTTCATGGAATAGAGTCAATTTAGAACAAGTATCCAACAGACCCTGGAAAGTCTGATTGTTTCCTTTCCCCCAGTGTACAGTTATCTTTGCAAAGGGCCTGTAGGTCCTGCTGGGGTAGGACTGGAGAAAGGCTAACAGTTAAACTCTTAGGTATTTCATCAAGGTCCTCCCTTAGGGGAACCTGGCAGTCCCTTCATTCAAGGGGCTGCAAACAGGCTCAACGTTGGAAATGAGTTCACTGGCCAAGATTCCATTGTAAACTTTTTTTTTTTTTTCATTTGAGAATTTTTCCATTCATAGAGATCAAACAAAAATGCAGTCGGCTTACCTATTTCATGGCTGGAAACACCATGATTGACCAGCCAGTTCCAAAGGGCCATACAAGTCACACCATCATAAAAATTGCTTTGCCTATACTGTCCCTTATGTGTTAGGCCATTATGGACATTGCTTTGTCTATTCTGCCCATTACAATCACCACCTTATCTTCAGCAATTCGGTTACACCACCTGGCCCCTGCCCCTCTGGGCGCCAACTAAACTATGGGATGGAAATTTTATCCTGGTCTCATTGAGAAAACCTGAATCCCAAGGGCAGATCTAGAATATGAATCCACATATGATTCCAATACTCGATCTGTGTTTAGAGTGTGAAGTTACTGTCTAGTGTAATGTACCCCCTCCCAACTATGAGCGACTGTGAGAATCGAGGTGTGGCATAGTTCCTCCAAGGGATTGAGACAGCTTTAGGCCCATCACATATGGTGGAGTCAACAAACAATGTGTACACACTATTTTCCTGTTTAGTGTGGGCGTGTGAGGAATTGCTCTAGATGCCAGGGATACATCAAGTGCACAAAATAAAGTAAAATCCCTGTCTTCATGGAAATTCAAATTTATTAAAATCAAGGTCCCACCCCTAGATGAAGAGCCACAATGGTTGGTCAATGGCTGCTGAGAAAGGGAAACTTTTGTTTTTTCCCAGGGATAAAGCTCCTGCTTGGTTGTCTAATCCCAGGTGGTCAGCCCTGGACACATATGCGTATCAGCAGTGCTAAATGGCCTCAGTAGATCCACGTAGGTACCTACACATACAGGTGTATCGATAATGATTAATGAGGTCATGAATTTGTGAGGGGTGATACTGGAGTAATTACAGGGTCGGGGCAGGATCAGAGTGATACAGATGTAGTTCTCATACATGATGTTCTCAAAACATAAAAATCAGTGATTTTACTATATATGTATATATATGTATATATATATACACACACACAAATATATATAATGCATATTTTGTAATATACATTGTTAACAATATATTGTTAAAAAACTAAATTTTTAATTATTAAGTAAAGGCTCAGTGAAAATTTTGCTCTTTAAAACTAGTCTTCATGTTGAACTTATTTATTTGGAAAGCACTGATAATATTTAACAAGGAAGAAGCTTGTAGACAGTAGAGACTGGTACAAATTACGGCATCCTAAGTGAGCTAGAATACCTTTATTGATGATAAGGAATCTCAGGAACCTGGTTTCAGACAAGAAACAGCTAACCCCATGTTTTGGCTCCAGGACTCATAGCGGTTTTTCAAAAGGGGAGGGAATTCGGTCCCTATCGCCAGGGGTAAGTTTTCGGATCCTTACAAGAAAGGCATGGGAGGTACTGTCTTCTCTGTCGCAGCCGAGGAAAGCCAAGCTGTAGGGCCACGGTCTGGGACACGGCTTTGAGGCTGGCGCCTCCCCGCGCCGGTTTCGTTCGCTGTGCCCACGCCAGAGTTAAAGTCTCGCTCTACCGCTTCCCTTTCCGCCTGCTCGAAGGAAAAAAAATACATTTCCCACAACACCGCGCGCCGACCGGGCCTCGCAAGGCGTGACTGCAACATTGCCGGCATGCTTATGGTTACTCAAACCCACATTTCGAGAAGACCCGAGCTCTTCTTATCTACTTTTCAAACAGTATTCTTCTTCTTTTTCTTTCCCACCGGTGCTATCACTGCCTGACTACAGACTCTGAGGAGAGCAATCCATCCATTCAGGCGACTGCCCTGGACGCCTTCCTCCGCGAGCGTAGGTCCATGCTAGGCCCCGGGGGCCTGGGAGTGTCATTGGTGGATGACCGCAGCGCTTGCTGCTGCAGCTGCCCCTGCGACCATGGTCTCCGGCAGCTGCGGCCTCGTAGCCGCCCGCCTGCTGTCGCGCACCTTCCTCCGTGAGTCGTGCCGGGGCTCCCTTCCTCCAGGCTCCCGCAGGCCCCGGGGATCCACGCCCCGAGCCCTGGCTCAGGCTGCGACCGGGCTCTTCCAGGCGGCCCCGGGGGGGGGGCGAGGGAGCCACTGGTGCAGACCCCAGGGTCAGCCGAGGGGGCTTTGCCCGATGTGGAGGTGGCTCTGTCGAGGCCAGAGTCGGGGGGCGGGCGTCCTGCAGTCCCGGGGACATGTTCGAGCCCCACGGTGACGAGCGGCGGGGTGGAGGTGGCGTCTGGGCTGGCCCTCACTTGGAGCCAAGGGTGAAGAAGAGGTCCAGGATGAACTCCGCTGGGACAGTGCGTGCCAGGGTCGAGCAGGCTAGACCTGTGCCGAAGGGTCCTGCACCTAGAGCTAACCGTTCCGTGGTGTGGCAGGGCCAACGGAAAGGCGGTTCCAGCAACCAGAGTCCGCACGACCCCGTGGGCGCTGAGGGTAGAAGCTGAGGGTGGCCAGGCGCTTTCGCCGATAATGTAATTCGCCGATAATGTGTTTTTACTAGTAATGGCTAGGAGCTACGAACACCCCAGCTTCTGAGAACTAGTCTCCCAGGGTTGCTGCTGTTTCAGTAATGCTGACTCTTGAATACTGTTGCGGCGTCCAAAGTCTCTGTGTTAGATATGCTGAGACAACCTTGGAGGCAGTCGTTTGTGATTGCAGTTTCGCTGATGCATTCACGCTTGCATATTAGTCCTTTTTAAAGAATAACTTCTCACTGGGTGTGGTGGCCCACACCTGTAATCCCCACTCCGGAGGCAGAGGCAGGTGGATCTTTGTGCGTTTGAGAATGAGTTCCAAGACAGTCAGAGCTGTTACACAGAGAAACCCGGTCTAGAAAACAAAACAAAAACAAACAAACCAATTAAAAAAAAAAAAAAAAAAAAAAAAAAGAACTCTCAAGTAATGTTTCCAATCGCATGAAAATAGAACCATATGGCAATGAATGTGAGACAGTGTGGTTAGTCAAATGCAGCATTGGCCTGCCTGTTACCAACAGGAGGGGTGGTTGCTAATTAAACTTGTGGTGAACGATTGGTTGTCAGATACATCCACATTCAAGAGATGTTAAAAGGCGACAAGTGATCTCTTTTCATTGTGCACAGTAAGCCAGCAGACGTTCAGGTGACTGTTTCCCCCCATTATTTCTTGTTACACATCGTTTCTGTTTCTTGCATCAAACAGTGAGCGAGTCTCTGTTCCTTCTCGAGTATCCTAAAAGTGTTCAAGGATGAGTGTGGGCTCAGTGCTTCATTGCACCATCGTTTGAGGACAAAGGCTTTGCCAAATAGGAAAGAGTTGAGTTTATTTGGGGGAAAGTTTTCTGGAACTCTTCTTTCTTGAACTATTGAAAGGAGACTTGAATGTCTTGTGGATAGAGGGAAGAAAGGGATTAGTTCAGTAATTGCTGTGGTCGGGAGAGTTTGGACATTGGTGTGTTGGGTATGGGCCTAATCCAGCTTAATTGGAGTCGTTTGTGGAAGACCAGATGTACCCTTTAGTCGGTTTGATGGTAATGCCCAGCAAAGAGGGGCTCGCCTACAGGCCAGTGTCTTACTCTGCTGAGGTCTTGCTGGTCTAAGGCCCTACCTAAAAGAGCCCAGCCTCCATCCAGAAGGTCTGCTGTCTTAGTACAAGTGTCTCCAGAAGGAGAATGTCTAGGTGATCTGGCTCCTTAAGTTTATTTCTCAGCAAAACCTGGTACTCCTCATCCCATAGGGTTGCCCTAAAGGGCTTTCTTCTGGACTCCTAAGCTTGAAACCCTAAAATCTACTTAGCTTTCCATTGCTAGAGTCATCTTGGATCTGAGTCATGTTATTAAAGCTCTGAAGGAGTCTAAGAGCTAAACTAGAGTGTTTCTGTATTAGTACTAAGGTATGAATGACTGTGTTTAGTGGCTAAACACCTCTAAGTCAGCAGACCTCAGAATCCTTTCACACCAGCCATGCTTATTCTAAGCCACTGCGGTGGTCACACTGCAAGCTGCTGCCGCCCCTCCTTCCTCCCCTCCTCCTCTGCCTCCCCCCCACCTTTTCCTTCTTCTTCCAGAAAGTCACAAGTTACTTGCGCTCTTAGGTTAAAATAACTAGAGATGATAAGGAATCCCACTCTTGTCCTTAAATTTTAGCCAATGGCACATTAGGTGTTGAAGTCCCAAGTTTTGCAATGCTGACTTTAAAAAAAAAAAAAAAAAGGCAAACAGTTTTAGCTTCTACTGGGCCCTGGTGAAGGACAATTTAGAAATTGCTAAGCTACCCACTATCCCTCACTTTTATTGCTTGTGAAAGAAGGGGAGGAATCCTGTTGTTGCAGGGAGGGTGGGTACATGGAAACAGAATAATTTCTGATGAGAATGTGTAGGAATTTTATTAGCATCATGAGGCTGAAATGAAGTTTTAAAAGAAAGTTCAAGTGTGGTAGGGTCTTTTAAAACGTCAGTCAGGGGTTTCTGGAAATTACATTTTTTTTTTCAGAATGGTTAATAAGAGCAGTTATTATTTTGATCCTTGCAATTACGGTATTTTGATGCCAGATAGTAAATCTTACAGTCCAGTTAGTTCTACTGTTTTGTTTGGTAAATGAAGAGACAGACCCAGAAAAGTTCCCGGGTAGTCTGAGGAACCCTGAAACCCAGGTCTCATGTTGTGGGTGTCTTTTCACTAATGTGTGCCTTGGGAAGCTTGAACCTCCTTGTTGGAAGCAGGGATTTTGGCACTCTGGTCATCTGCTTACAGGGGCTGCGTGCCTTCCTCATGCCTGCCAAGTTACACAGGCTTGTTTGTAGACTCAGAGAAGTATCTGCAAGTGTGTGGAGACCAGCAGAGCATGAACACTAGCCCAGGCCTGTTTGGTTTCTGTGAGTGATCTCAGCTGGTCCTGGGAACAGCACCAAGGCTACGTTGGCCAGTGCTAGAGCCTCTATGGAGAGCTAGAGCTCTCACCATCGTTATAATCATGGCCACCTTCAGGCCTTCCTGCTGGCCTGCTGTATACTTCAGCCTGCTCGTTTTCTCTGTCAGTCAGTTCCCTATCACTGCAAGCTGCTCTGCCACTGTCGTCAGTTGTATTTCTGGCTTCAATCAGTACAGATGATCTGAGTCCCTTCCCTGGCTCCTGCTGCACAGAGCACTAGGGCCCAGCCTCTCAGTCCTTGAGTCCCTGTTGTGGGACTCAAGCTAAGGTGCTTGGCTGTTCCCTGGGCCAGGACTTGACTGCATCATGCCTTCACTGTCCCTTGTTCAGCATAGTCTGGTCCAGGGGTGCAGCAGTGCGTGTACATTGCAGTGTAGCTATCTGTCCATCAGAGCAGCTGTCTGTCTGGCTGTTGTGTACATGTGGTGTAGCTATCTGTGTACAAGAGGTACAGCTGTCTGTACATCAGTGCAGTTGTCTGTGTACACGCAGTGCAGCTATTGCGCACACACGGTGTGGCTGTCTGGACACACACTACATGCCATGTAGCTGTCTGTGTACATGCAGCTCTCTTCTTTCCCAGAGGGCCAGGCTGAAATCGGGGCCTCCCTCTCCCCTACAGGACTGGCTCTCCAGACACACCTCCTAGTGGGCGCCTCTGCAGTTTTGCCCCTGAGGTCTGAAGATTAGGAAGCATGAAGGTGTGTGGGGGTAGGCTTTGAGAAGTAGCTGAGGAGATAGATTTGTTCTGGAGCCGCCATTCATGGGCTGCTCCGAGTTACGTAGAAGGCCTGCTGCTTTGCAGAGGTAGGGATGAGCCATAGAGAAGACAGGCTAAGAGGCTCTGTGAGGGGCTAGAAGGCGACTCATAGTTGTGAGCCATGAGCCTCTCTTTGCTCTTTGCACTGCATTTTGAAATAGGAGTGGGTTAAGTACCTACTTAAATGTTCTCAGTGTCCCTTGAGGGGGGTTGCCAAACTGACTTAGGCATGTGGCTTTTGTTTCATATTTCTCTTTTCATCTTGAGAACTCACTTTATTTTCTCTGTTTAATATGTGAGCTTTTGAATCCTACATCACAAGGGATCAAGCTAAGTGATCTTGGGTTGTATTTTGGGCAGATTTGTCCCACGACTTAGCATTTCCTGCATGGCTCTGACCAAGGAATAGGTAGCTCTTATGGTCCGAAAGTCTGCCTCCTCCCTCGCCTGGTGTTCACAGGCGCCATGGCTGCCGCCGGAGTAGGCGCTGCACGTAGTAAACATTAGAAGGAATGGTTTCAGTGTATAATTCAGACCCTTACGTTTGAATCTCAGGTTCCTCAAGGAACGGGAATTACACATTTCAGCTTTTCTTTCTCAGTTCAGAAAGTGCTGGACAATTGGGCGTCTTGTTCACAAGAAACTGGCTCCTGTGTTTGCTTTTCCAGAGTGTGTCTCAGCCAAGAATGGCCACAGCATTGCTCTTATGTTAGATTTCTCTTGTTAAAAACTGGGACCTTAAATTAATTCATGGTTCCAAACTGTGGGAAAGTTATAATGTGTCATTCTTTCTTTACCTCTCAGTGCAGCAGCATGGGATACGGCATGGATCGTACGCAGCTTCTCGGAAACATCTCTACATTGATAAAAACACCAAGGTTATTTGCCAGGGTTTCACTGGCAAGCAGGTATGTGCATCCACGTTTTAATGTATTAAGTGCAGACTAAAGATGTAAAAGATTATTTTCGACTCTTAATAATACAAAAATAGTACTGTGTGATTGGCTCAGGGCTGTGCGTTAGCAGGAAGGCAGGAGGTGTCATAATCCCCTCAGATGGCGATTGTGTTTAAACTTAGCAGAGTAGTGCACAGAAACGGCAGTGTCGGGGGCCCCCTGTCTTTCATCACGTGCAGGGCTCCTAGTTTTCCTCCAGCCCTGCGAGAGACGACTGTTCCTTTGAGTACTAGGTAAGTAGATTATAAAGGAAAGCCTGTGTTATACGTGCACTCCACACCTGGTATGGAGAAATGCACAAATACAGAGGCTCCCGGACAGTGTGGGCAGATGAACCCGCTGGTGGCTTGCCCATTGGGCACTCCCTCTTGGGCAGACTTGCTCTTAAGTACTTGAATTGGTTTTCATTCTTTTCTGTTCACACGTTCTCCCTCTCCCTACTTCTGTCATAGAGCTTGCTAAGTTGAAATGTACCTACGACTTGAGTCTGCATTAAAACCACCCTGACTCTCCTTTCCCATTTTCCAACCACTCTGCTCACCAGGAACCCTCTGTTAAGTTGGCATGTGTCCTTCCAGATGAAAAATACAGGTACCCCAGTTTTCTTTCTGAGAAATGAGATGGTAAACTTGAGTATTTCCTTCTCAGTTTAGAAACAGCTATGTAGTTGTCAGTGAAGAGATGGCTCTGGAGCGGCCAGGGTTGGCGTTTGCTCTTCTGATTTATTCCTGTGGTCTGTATCTCTCTGTTTTTAAAGTTTATGTTTCATTTTACATACCAATCCCCTCCCTCTCCTTCACCTCTCCCCTCTCCTGCCTCCCCCCCCCTTCCAATCCCTCATCCACTCCTCAGTGGGGGTAAGGCCTTCCTTGGGGAGTCTGCAAAGCCTGGCATATCAGTTTGAGGCAGGACCAAGCTCTGTATGTACCAGTTTAAGGCAGGACCAAGCTCTGTATGTCTCATTTTAAAAACACATGTACAAGTATTTTGTATTTATATAATGCATCTTTTGCAGCATTTGTACTGTAGAACTGTTCTAACACAATGTAATTTATAAAAGTAGATGCAGGCACAATCTCATAGACCAGATTGCCAAGCTTTAATCTGGAGGGTGATAGCCAGCCAGATGTTACAGATATCATGTCTACATACAGATACCCTCAGAAGTAAGATCTATACATCCTGAGGGAAGGAAGTGCGATCTGTCACCTTCTTTCCAAGTACAGTCTAGTTTTGTGTATGATATATTAGTATATAATCAAATTCTTGAGGAAGTTTATTATGCTGTTTATTTTTCTTGAATTTTATATGCCATTCTTGTGACACTTTAACTTCTGGATCTTCTTCCTAAGAGCTGTGGTTTCATATGTAAGCCCTATTTGGGGTTGACTCTGCTTCTTAAATTAGGTAATGATTTGTTCATGCCTTTGAACACAGGGTTGGCTGGCATCACTCCCTCCCTCCCTCCCTTCTTTTTTTGAGACAGAGCCTCACTTTATAGTCCTGGCTGGCTTGGAACTCACTGATATCAGCTGGCTTAGAACTCATGGAGTTCTGACTACCTGTGCCTCCTGAGTGTTGGTTTGGGATCTTTCCACTTCCCTTGTGTTTGCATTTGTAGTAATTGTGACTCTAATGGTCTCAGGTTTTTTTTTTTTTTTTTTTTTTTTTTTTTTTTTGAGTGAATATTGAGCTAAGTGCCACAGAAGCTTGTAGTTTGTCATGTTTAGTTCCTTCCTCAGTGCTAACCTTATTCATGTAAACAAGGAATGTTTGTATGTTAGAACGGATTCTAGCCATGTGCGTTTCCAGTGGATGCCGTAGGATTCTTTGCTGGCTCTTATGAGTTGCAGAAATTGTTCCTGTGGCTGGTGACCACATGAAAACTGAAAAAGCTGATTTTGCACAGGAACATTGCCTTTAGTTAGTAACAGTAGAACTAAAACGGTGGATTCACTTTTACTTAACTGGAAGTTATAGTCTAGGCCGATGTTTCTCGGACTTAGGAGAAAATGATCTGTGAGGGTGTTGGTTTTGACTCTCTGACCTGATGTGAAACATAGTAAACGTACAGTAGTGTAACACTGTTGTGCTTGCAAACATTTTGATTTTTACGGTAGCATTTTGTTGTTCCTCTTGCTTTTGGGGTCTTCTGCATTTCCGTCTGTCTTGCTCATTTTTCACTTAAGGTCAGTTGGTCTGTGGACCATGCTGGAGTAGCACTGTTTAAAGAGAGTGCAGAGCACTGACGTGTGGCTCCTTCTAAAACTCCACCACTAGCTTCAAACTAGTTGCTTAATTTGCTTAGGGCTGAGTTTGCTAGTGGCTTAAAGCCTCAATTCTTATGCATTAAATGGTTAAGAACGTAAGAGGTTGACTCAGCACTTTAGGTCCCTGTCACGTAGACCTTTCACTGTTGATTGGTCACTCTTGAGGGTCTGCTGTATGTAAAGTGTTGAATTAGGTACCATATTGCGATAAGTACAATAGGCAGTAATCACTGTCTTCATGGAATGTACCTCTCTGCTGAGACGAAGAAATGTATCCAGACAGTCCGTGACTAGATTTGTGTGGCGCTAGACAGTATGGTCACTATAGAGGAACAAACCAGGGAACGGGAAAGGGTGTGTTTGTTAGCGTGGAGTTGTATGGCCATCATGGGGGAGAAGAAATTCATATCAGGTGGTCAGGGAAGGCTTGCTGTGCTGTCTGAGTCAAGATCCAAAGGAGATGTGTGAGCGAATCATGGAGATACCTCGGGGTGTGTTTTATTCAGGGGCACAGCGAGTCCTTGTGGCAGGCACGTGTAGCTGCAGTCAGATACTCAAGGCCGTAAATGAGGGCTGGCAGTGTGGGCTCTGCAGTGAGGACACATGATGTGTTGACTTCCATGGTTAATGACCTAGAAAGAGATGGAAGGACTTTTGTCAAGTTTTATAGGCTAACTCATGGTGCTGTGGGGAATAGATTCAAAGCGAGCAAGGGAAACATTACTAGGATATGAGGTGACGTCAGCCAGCACAGTTCCCGGGAAAGGTAGGGGAGAGGCTGGCTGTTTTGAGGATACAGTGGTGAGATTTGCTGAGTTCAGGGTTTAAGAGGGAGAAGGATCTAGTGTGCCGTCTTACTTTAGTCTGAATGTTTGTGGGAGTGGCGTCGTCATTGACAGATGGAGCAGACCGAGAGGAGGGTAATCAGAGTGAGTTTGAGGCCTGGTCAGAGATGCCCACCAGCTCTGTAGGTAGAGATGGTAGGCAGCAAATGAGTGTGACACCAGGCAGAGGTCTTGGCTAATTGTGTGAGGAGTGTGGATGCCAAGGGCCACCTGTAGATTCTGCTTGCTGCCTTGGTAAGGGTGGCATCACAAAAGGCATGGACTGAGATGGAGAAGAGAAGAGGCGACAGGTCTGAATGTTAGCGGGAAAGTGTGTGTGTGTGTGTGTGTGGGTGGTGGTGGGTGGTGGTGAATTAGATTAAACCACATTGTGCTTTTGCGCTCTGTCTCTCTGTATGTATGTACATATGTATGTGTACATACATAGTACATATATGTGTTAATAACATATGTTAATATATATGTATATATATACATATCATATACATATATATATATATTAAAGTGAAAAGGCCAGGGTCGAACAAATGTAATGATCGATCATGAGTTTGCAGTTGGGCGAAGTGGGGCGCGCGAGGAGACGAGGGAAAATGAATGGAATGGTCTTTTAAGCAAACAGCGGTGTTTTCAGAGGGAGGCAATCACAGCAGGAACTAGGGAAAGGCTTTCAGTGGCTCTCAGCTTTGCAGAAAGAACCCAGTTTTCTCCAGTGTTGACAGCAGGGCTCTCTAAGTGGGCGAGAGGGCTGGGCTCAGGCTGTTGCCTGGGAGCACTTAACGCGTTTGGTTTTCTTTTCCCAAGGTGCTGAGGTGGCCTTTGCTTCTCAGCTGCCTTCTGCCTTTTTCATGGCTCTTGTCTTCTTTCCTCACAGGGCACCTTTCACAGCCAGCAGGCCTTGGATTACGGCACAAAACTCGTGGGAGGAACCACGCCAGGGAAGGGCGGCAAGACACACCTGGGCTTGCCCGTGTTTAATACTGTGAAGGAAGTAAGTAATGGCTTCTGAGTGTGTGGGCAAAGACAGACGCTCTGTGGGTAGAGAGAGACTTAAATTGCGTGCCTTTTGGGAGAGTCACTTGCCATTTGGTTGTCCTAGAGAAACTGGGATTGTGGTAAAACCCAGTACATGGTTTTTGCTGAAGCTATGCACCACAGGCCATTTTTCTTTCTCCCTGACCAGAGCCCTTCTCCCGAGGAATCTCTTTCCTACTGTGAGTCTTCGTGCTTGTGAGCCACTGAGTTTGATTGGAGTAGCTCGCCTGAGCCTGGACTGAATGCTACCTGTTGGAGCAAGGGTACCTTATCAGTGGCTACAGCACTGAAGAGAACGACTTCCTGCAACAAACTTTTAACTGCTGTTAGGCCTGCGGGGAGGGGTGAGCTCTCATGGGCCCCCACCCCACCCCCACCCCCAGGCTTCAGCATCTGCATCTGTAGCCTGGGATGCTCTGGTTCAGGAGTACCCTGCAGCCTGAGGTTTTCCTGTGCAGAGCCTTCACAGGACTGCTGGGGAGCGGCTGCTGCTCTGCAGTCAGAGCTCTGTAGCCTCTGTGGCTATGGGGTTCCATCAGAGAAGGAAGCATGGGCACACAGAGAGGTGGATGGGTGGCTCACGCCTTTAATCCCAGCAGAGGCAGCTGGGTCTCTGTGAGTTGAGGCCAGACTGATCTATAAAGTGAGTTCCAGGACAGCCAGGGCTCCACACAGAAACCCTGTCTCAGAAAGACAGAAACAAAACTAAACCAAAGTAAAGTGATGAGTAGGAGAGAGCTTATGTGCCAAGGCCACATAGAGAGGACAGTGGTCAGAGTGACACCTGTTAACCTAACGCTTATTTAACCCACATCCTTACTCTTTGCCCGTGTGTGTCTCTGCACTTGGCTCCATTTGCTGATTTCTGGTAAGAATGTATAAAGTAAAATGTCAGGTACGAGCACTTCACTTAGGCGACGGAGCAGTGGCCCAGTGGTGACGCTGAGAGCACTTGCTTCTCTTCTAGAAGACCCCCATGTGGTCCCTTTCCAGCACTCACGCTGGCACTAACGACTGCCAGTAGCTCAGGCTACAGACACACACACACCACACACACACACACACACCACACACACACACACCACACACACACACACCACACATACACCACACACACACTCACACCACACAATACACTACACACACACCACACACACACACCACACACACACCACACACACACCACACATACACCACACACACACACACACACACACCACACACACACCACACACACACACACACACACACACACCACACACACACACCACACACACACACACACACACACACACACACACACACCACACACCACACACACACCACACACCACACACCACACACACACACACACACACACACACACACACACACACACACACGTGCGCGCGCACCTACTTTCACTCTTTGTTGATAATATATACCATAGATTTAAAGTAGATGCGTGAAAGCCACGTTGTGAGCTCTGGGGTTGCCTGGCCTTCTAAGGAGGTGCAGAGTTCGAAGCTGCATAGGTGGCACTGGATCTTGTTAGCGAGCCTGGGGAGGAGCAGGGAAGCTGTTCAGGGCCCCAGGGAGGAGGGAACTCCAGGCAAAGCAGGCATTGTTCTCAGGGTTACTGTCCATTTATCCGGTAAGATGTACAGAACCTTTTAATTCACAGTGACATTCAGAGGGGACAGAAAAAAATCTGACTGCCATGGACCGCAGCATGGGGGAATGAGGAGAGCCTGCCATGACCCCTTCTAAAGGTTAATCCAATCAGGCTGTTGAATGTATTTTATTATGACTCAACCCATTGTGGTTAATGTTTCAGGCCAAAGAGAAAACGGGAGCGACAGCTTCTGTCATTTATGTACCTCCCCCTTTTGCTGCCGCTGCCATCAGTGAAGCAATTGACGCAGAGATCCCCCTGGTTGTGTGCATTACTGAAGGAATCCCACAGCAGGACATGGTGCGGGTCAGGCACAAGCTGACGCGCCAAGGACAGACGAGGCTGATTGGGCCGAACTGCCCTGGAGTCATCAATGTGAGTGTAAAATAGGAGCCTTCTGTGAAGCCATAGGGTTTTGAATCTGTTCAAGTGTGTGTGTGTGTGTGTGTGTTTGTGTGTGTGTGTGTGTGAGAGAGAGAGAGAGAGAGAGAGACAGAGACAGAGATAGAGACAGACTTTGGAGATAGAATTTTCTTTGGAACTTTTCTGAAAACTGCAATTTACTTTCCTCCAGCCTGGAGAATGCAAGATTGGCATCATGCCTGGCCATATTCACAAGAAAGGAAAAATAGGTGAGTAAATGTGTTACTTTCTGATAGATGCAAAAAATAAAAATTCCATCATCCAAACCCAAAACTCATGGGGAATTTGTGCCTGAATAAATGTGTGACTGTAATGAATGAAGTTCATTCCTGCAGTGAGTCAGTGATGTAACTGAAATAAAATGTGTCTATTTGAGAATTGGTTGTTGCATAAATAACCACTGGAGATCCGTGGAGGGGAGCAGTGATTCCTCCTCTGTTCAGACTCGGGGGTCTTCTGTGTCTTTGTGTCTGTGATTAATATCAGCTTCTCCATCACTAGCTTTATGCGGCTTTAACTGTTGTTTATCCATTTCTCAGAGGTCATTTGGGCTGTTTTCCGGTTTGAGCATTAGGAACAAGACTAAAATACGAGTCTTGTATGGATACACTTTAATTTCTGTTGGGCAAAGTTTACAGGAACACAAGCTGAGTGTGGTAGACTTTTAAAGAAGTTGCTAGATATCTCTAGGAGATGACTTTGCCATTTTATATTCTCATTAGTGGAGAGTCCCAGTTAACGCTGTGTTCCAATGTCACTGTCTTCAGTGAACTTGTCTGGGGGATGAAATGGGGTCACATTGGGTTTTATCCTGATGTCCCGAGGGCTGATGTTGAAGAGCAACTTCTCATGTTTTCACTCTTGATCTAGAGGGTGCGCCTGGAGGCCACACACAGAATCAGGAAGTGCAGTTGGCTTTTAGTTAACTCAGGTAGTGACTGCCCTTTCCTGTTGGTTGGGCCCCGCTTCACAGTCTTAGTTGGCTAGTCTGAAAAGAGCTGGCACACAGGGATTGAAGGAGGAAGGGGAGGACCACCATTCCAAGGAGGAGACGTTTATTGCATCAGGCCATCAGATTCCTACAGAGCTATGGGCCTGAAAACAAAGATTTTACTGGGCGAGGAGGATTAAAACATTCACATAAAAGTTTTTCAGGGTGGTAGAGATGAAAGGATTTTAATTCCTTGGCCTTAACACAAATTTTGTAGGATTTGATGGGAAAGACTCATATTTGACATTTCTTAGGAATCTCTCTTTTTTTCTTTAAGCATTATTTTCCTCAAACTCATGAGATGCCCTCTAAGAAATTAATCCTGAGATACGCTTTCATTAGTATGATTCAGAGTGCGCCACCTTCCTAGAGGTGATCCCTTGGCCTGGAGAGTTACCTGGCCCTGTTGGAGTGTTGGGTTGGCCTGGAGAGTTATCTGGCCCTGTTGGCGTGTTGGGTTGGCCTGGAGAGTTACCTGGCCCTGTTGGCGTGTTGGGTTGGCCTGGAGAGTTACCTGGCCCTGTTGGCGTGTTGGGTTGGCCTGGAGAGTTATCTGGCCCTGTTGGTGTGTTGGGTTGGCCTGGAGAGTTACCTGGCCCTCTTGGCGTGTTGGGTCTGTCTCCAGGCATCCCTTGACTGGAGGGGGTTTTCTCTTAGTGCTCTCACTGCAGCTTTGACATTCCCCCTCCCCAAAGAGGAACTAGAATCATTCAGGGACCAAATCAGACACAGAGCTCCTAAAACACTTCTGGCATCCCTGGCCTCTGGCAGGGGTGAAGCCACCAAATGTCCAAGCCCTTGCTGGGCTCACAGGATCCTCCATCTGTTGGACTCCTTGCTTTCCTTTGCTCCTAAGGTTGCTCTCTCAGTGATGAACTTGCAACCTGCTTTGCATGCTCTTTCGTAGATGTTACATTAGCTACAAGGCAGCATGATGTCTGTCCTATGTGGCTTCACACAAATTATAACTGCGGACACCAGGCGTTGTCATCTGGATGTGACGTAGCCTCTCCTCCGCCCACAGGCACAGGCTGTTGCTTGGCCTCCTTTTATCCCAGTTGAGTATTGCGTGGGCTGAGATCAGAGGGATCTGTGACTTCCCATGTTGGTAGGAACTTAAGACCTTTGGAAAACAACTTGTTAAAGTAGTTAATCCAAATTTAAAACACTAGTAGCCTTGTGACACTTTTACCCAGTTAGAAAAATAGCCGTTGGATGGCATCTTCTAAGGCAGTCAGATTTAATCATACCACAAGACTGTCTGTGTTTCTTCTACCAGACCTGACCCAAGGGTTCCCAGGTCTCTGAGGGAACTGAAAATAACCTAAGTTATTTTCCTGTCCCGAATTATCTTGTGCTCAGCCCCCTCTATTGAGGCTTCGTGCACCGAGTTTCATGTCAAAGGCAAGTCTCAACTTCTGACCACCAAAGTCTCCATGGCATTTCTTACCCTTGGCCCGTGCACAGAGTGGCCTTGACCCCTGAGGAATTTTCTTGGGCTCTCTCTGTATTGTCCAGACACTTCCATACCTGGATTCTTTTGCCAACTTGAAGAATGCCAGACCCCAGCACCTAAGAGCCACCAAGAAAGGATCTGGTAGGATGTGTTTCCTGTGTGTGTGTGTGTGTGTGTGTGTGTGTGTGGCACACCTTCAGGTGAGGTAGTTTCCTGAATTGAGCCCCCAAATTATTAGAGGTAAGTTTGGGGTCATGAAGAAACTGCCATTCCAACTGAAGGCAAACTTTACTCCTGATCAAGAGGGTGCACGTGGGAGGCACACTTGGGAAGAGCAAGCCAGGATCATTTTTCCGTTATTGTTTCTGTGTCCCATCTTGTTCTCATTGATATCACAAACTTCCTCCAAACGCCTTGGGAAATGGTGCAGTTACTTGGTTGGTTCCTTAAGGCAATGGCCAATCCACAGTGAGCTGTGCTAGTCTTGACTGTAGACTCTGCAGCCTACTATGAGCAAACTGCACTGTTTCTCTGTAGTAATAGTTGGGGGCGGTGTTCGTCTCTTCCTATGACCATAACTATTAATGCTAAATAAGAAGAGTTACCGTCATAGGGCATTGCTGATGGTGTAGTCTGCAGAATTACGTTAAACGTCACGAGTTTTGTTGATTACTCGCTTCTTTGAACTTGTCAGTCCTACTGCCAGCAGTGTTTAGGCTGATTGAGGGAGGCTGCAGGAGCTCAGTGGGGCCTGCCCTCACAGCCTGGTGCCTGTTGAAGGGGTGTTTATATTCTTTGGTCTGCTGCTAATACTTTGTATCAAGAGAGAACACAATAGTTACCCATAGGTCAGAGGCTGTTGAGTGTTGTCCTCACCAGCCCTGACCTCAAGAGGGAGGGGGGCCCACGTGCCCTCCTACTGTGCTGAATGGTGACCCATTCAGTGAAGAAAGTTGTTCCTAACCTGAAAATACTGAGGGTTACATTGTGGTATGTAAGACATAACTTCTCTCCACACCCCGCTCTAAGAGTTACAGGAAACAGAGACCGAGGAGACTGAGGGGAGCGGATCCCATCTCATCCCTGTTGGGGCAGTCCAGGAAGGACCTGTGAGGGAAAGCAGCACGCAAGCTTTCTGTGTGACTTTAGTGGGTAGCCGGCACGTTTGTGAGAGGTGGAGGTGAGGCACTCCATTTGAAGCCAAGTGGATGTGAGAAGATGGGGCAGATGAAGGATAATGGAGGAATGACTCAGTTCTTTAGAAGGAGGAGTTGGTAGGAAACACATTTAGGCCGGGGCTGTGGGAGGGAGTTGTGCTGGGCTAGGAGTTGGTGCAGAGTTCCCCACGAGGTGAGGCTTTGTCAGGGAACTGTGTGGAACTCATCTAGAAGAACAGCATGGTGGCGTGCTGGAGGCTTCCAGTTTGACTGTTAGATGCGGAGAATCTGCAGTCTTGTGTACCTGAGTCCATAGGGCAGAGCGGTGTGTTTGCATAGATCACATTTGTCATGCCCCTGAGTCTGTAGTGACAGCGGAGATTCAGCACCTAGCTGTTATTAGGAGGGTCATACTGTTAGGACAAAGTCTTACCCAAGGCAGGACAGCAAACCATGGACATACTAGAGCGGTCCAAGATTCAGAGTCAATGCTATGATGTGTTTTGTTTGGCGTTTGAAAAGTCTAATACTTTCTAACAACTAAAGTTAGTTAAGCTTGTGTTGACTAGGGACCCTTGCTGGTGTGTCTGCTGTTGTTGCATGCAGTGCTGCAGCACTAGCCGCCTCTGGGAAGTGCAGGGCAGCACAGGCAACCCTGGTGAGCTTGACCAGACCCTCGCCGCTGCCCTTCTCCCACAGACCTTGGATGGGAAGTTAGATGCTCTCACCACATGCTTGATGCAGTTAAATGGGAGACTAGCCCAATCCAGAGGGAGCTTGCCTGTATATTGTGTGGAAATTCTTAGAAAAATTGTGTGGGAGGGTGGATAATGTCGGTCAGTACGATTAGTGGTGTTTTTGTGGTTTAGTGACTGGGGTGCCTGAAGCCAGTCTGTCCCACTTCCCTAGGCAGGGTAGTGCCTACTCAGTTCATATTAATATTATCCTCCGTGGAGAGTCTCAGGAGAAGCTCTTTAACGGGTTTTGTTTCTTTTTCTTGGCATTGGTTTCATGGTCATAAAAGTACCCGAACTAATGAAATAATTCCTTTTTTGTCTTCATCATTTGAAGACACTGTTGATCTAAGTGGCAAAGCAAGACGTGAATTTTTATTTTCGGTCCTGTGTTACTTTCATTACCACCTGGCAGTCTCTCACCCACACGATCTGATAGCTTCCATTCTCTTCCTTTTAAGGTATTGTGTCCAGGTCTGGCACGCTGACTTACGAAGCAGTTCACCAAACAACCCAAGTTGGCCTGGGGCAGTCCTTGTGCATTGGTGAGTGCTTGGCCTTAGGGGTGTAGCGTCCTTGCTGAGCAAGGACAGTGACAAGGACTTATCAGGTGGTTTATAAGAGGCTTTGATACCATTCTTGTAAGAGGGTTAGGATCTCACGTTTACTTCCTGTACCTTTGAAGGTTTGATTTCTAGGTTAAGGAGTGCACATTGTAGGGCAGGTGACTGTGGGACAGGCATCGTGCCCAAAGCGCCACTAATTCATTTGCTGTGAAGAGATGGACCCTCACGTGGGCATTCTGTTATCACAGTTATGCTCTGGGTTTCATCGCTATTGAATTACTTGCCTCACTGTTTCTCTTCGGACAACCCCCGAGGCACCGCTGAGCTGAGGCTGAAATGTGTCCCTTACCGGGCAGAGAGCCACGGTTGAGGATGGCTACACGCCATCCTTCTCGGTGCCACACAGGGCTGTCAGACACTTTAAAAACAAACTCAGAGCAGGGTTTACACAAAAACTGCTTCCCCCCCAAAACTAGACATGTTTCTCAACTTCAAATCTTCAAATCCTCAGAATACCCTTAAAAACCTTTAAAAAAATGCCTTTTATTATTATACTCTAAATAAATAATTCAAACGGAAAACATGAATCAAGCCTTTCTATTGGCCAGACACAGGGTTAGGCAGGAGAGCGTTTGGTGCAGTGGAGACTAAGAACTGGCTTTGAAACACACTTGCCATTTCCGTCTTGAGGATCAGCTCTTCACTCGGGAACAGAGGGTGATGATAACGCCATTGCCATTTCACAGGCTGGGCCTTCGGCGGCTGCGGCTCTGATGCTTATGAAGCAGAGTACAGGACTTGATACCTGGTTGCCACCCAGTCAGTGCTGTTTCCTTCTCCCAGCTTCATTTCTTAGAGATGCTCTCAGTAGTTTAGTTAAAACTAAAACGCTGGCAGTTAGAGAGTAGGGGACATTTGCTTCACAGCTCTCACAGCTCTCACAGTCCTCAAATGCCATGTGCTCAGAGTAGAGCTGTGCACAGCGCCTGCAGATTCCCAGCGTGGGGTCTGCAGGGCCTGGAACCTTCCATCCTGTTGCTCACTGGCAGGGTGTCTTCAGACTCAGTTGTTTCTCTGCAGCACACTTGTCAAGAACTCCTCTGGGCAGAGAAATTTGTTCGTTGTTCAGTCTTTCCCTGTGGTGTATGGAATGCCCATAGCTCACTCTATCTGAGCAGTGTTTTCAAGTTTATTAAGTTCATGCTCAAAGAAGTATAATCAAAACAGGCGTTGAAAGACACGCCCCCCACATCCATTTGTTAAAGGCACACTTGTGAGTGTGGGATAGTTTTATGGGTTATCTAAAGAAGACTGGCTTTGTGAGGATGGGTAGCCCACCGCCATTTGTGCATGCACACTGTTGTAAATAGAAACAGATGCCACTCTGTGTCCTTTGAATGTTGACGAGTGCTGCCACATCTGAAAATATTAGAGAGAAAGGGTACGGAGAGTAAAGTGGACTTACAACAGTTTTTGACGGAAGTTCTATGGTTCACCCTTACATTTTTGACTAATACTGACACCCTTTGACCTCCTCAGGCATTGGAGGTGACCCATTTAACGGGACAAATTTTATTGATTGCCTTGAAGTCTTTCTGAATGATCCAGCCACAGAAGGCATCATATTGATTGGTGAAATTGGTGGTCATGCTGAAGAAAATGCGGCCGAATTCCTGAAGGAACACAATTCAGTAAGTTTGTGTTTGGAAGAATTCAGGACTCTGCTGACTGAACCTGGGGATTGCTTTAGAAATTATCTTTGCATTTTCATGATTAATTTCTCAAGAAAACATGAAAGCTATCTTTACATCTAAGCTTTCTATTCTATAACACTCAGAAAAGTCTAGATTCTGAGCTCATCTTTTCCCTGCTTGAACCCTCCTCCCCAGGCACCACCCCACATGCTAAGTGGAGAGAATTGGGGCCATGGGTCAAAGTTCACACCTGATGTGAAGCTTAAATCCAATGTCCCTTGTGTTCTTACTCTGAATTCCAAGGGCAATAAATGTCCTTTGCCTTTCTCCAGGTTGACCCTCTAGAGATCCTTTGTGTTATATCCCTTTTCTGTGATTTTTCCCTCCTGCGTAGCTTTAGTCTTTGCTTATAGGAAAGACTGAGCACCAGAGATCAGGTAGAAAAAAAGCTCTCTGTATCCTCCAGGGGAAGGCTTCACTGTTGGCTCTGCCTTAGAGTTAAATAAGTAAGGAGTAGAGTGTTGTATCAGCATGCTGTTTAGCTAAGGGAGCCAGGCTCCTCTGTTGGGATTTTGTAGGTGAGGGGTGGGTGGGGGAGGAGATGCCACAAAGCCAGAAGCAAGCCACTGTCCCAGCCCCACTGTGTCCGAGAGGGGAGCTGGGACTGGTGAGGTGGCTCGGGGGTTAAGAACACTTGTTGCCCTTGCAGAGGCCCTGGGGTAGGCGGGGTTCAGTTCCCCAGTCCCACATGGTGGCTCACAGCTATCTGTGAGTCCAGTTCTAGGGAATCTGGTGCCCTCTTCTGGCCTCCGTGGGTACAGGCACCTGACTTATTGAACATGCATACCTGCTGGCAAACACTGTACTCAATAAAGTGTTTAAAGAATAGAAAGAGGGGAGCTAACCCCCCTTCAGTACCTGTGGGAGAGAAAAGCCTGAGGAGTGAATGAATGAAATGCCAGAAGGGAAATGGTGAATGTGGTGGTGCCAGAGGAGCCAGGAATGCCTGCCACCTGCGGTATTCCTCCACTTAGTTGTGCCCTCAGGAGCTGGGAAGGCCTGTCGCGAGTGTCCCTGGCCTTCTGGCGATGCGAAGTTCTAACTTGGTTCGATGCGGTGCCGCTGTCCCCTCTCGTGCGTTCTGCCCTTCCTCCCCCACTCCCTACCACAGCACCCCACTCCCACAGTGCCCTTCCTGTTGAGAACGCCCCTTCATTGCTACTTTGGTCTTCTCGTTGGCACAGGCCTGCTGCAGCGTGGGAGGGTCATGGAGCCTGGCTGTCACAGTAACACGGGAAGCAGTCTCGGCGAACCGAGCTGCCGGTGCTCTCTTGATGTCCCCGAAGAGGTTCCCCCGGGCCTCCCCTTAGACCTCAGATTTCCTTTGTCTTCTGGATGCTTCTCGTAGTTGTCTCCTTATCCCTGTTTATTCCTGTGTCTGTCCTCCGCTGTGAGGGTGTCTAAGCGCTCCGATCCGTGGCGGGCACCTCAGTGCTGGCGTTTGCTTCTCTTACCCTCTGTCCACTCAGTGACAGGTCCAGATTCAGAGGTCTCACTCCAGTTCCCCGTGCCACTCTGCGTGTGAGTCGTCTTGCTCCCTCGGGCTGTCCTAGTCATGCTCTCCCTGATGTCTCTACTCCGCTCCAGCCACTGCTTTCTCCTAAGGCCATGCTGCCTTCTGTCCCTGGGTAAAACCACTCAGGGCTCCCACTGCACGTGCTAGGCTTTGGATGCGAAGCGTCCCTTTAAGATCACGCGAGCAGGCTTGGTCTCTAGGGGCTGCTAGCACTGTGGAGGTTCTGAAACTTAGGAGGACCCAGCTGGAGGGAGCAGGTCACTAGAGGCATTGTTTTGCCCTGTCCCCGTCTTCCTGTCTCTGCTTACTGGCTGCAGAGACATCAACTGAGCACGTTTCTCTGCCACACACACACCATAGTAGGGACGCATGCCTGGTATGGGGTAAACAAACCTTCTGAAACCATGGTGGAAACGAAGTCTCTCCTTTTAAATTGTCCGTGGAAGTGTGTCACACCGGTGAATGTCACTACAGGCTGCATTTGGCGCATGCTCTACTTCCTTGCCGATCCGATCCCTCTGCCCCCTCTTCAGATCCGGGCCCCTATGACGTACCAGCTTGCTACTTGGAGCTGTCAGGGTGCTGGTCTCCCCGACGGAGTTCATAGGAGCCCCTGATGGGCGCTGATAACTAAGCAGGGTGAATTGTTCGCTGTTGTCATAAGTTCAGAAAAGTTGGAAAGGTTAAGTAAAAACTGACTTTAGAAAAAAAGTCAGGTGTATGTTACACTGTCAAATCGTGTTAGTTCCCAACTCTGTCCTTAACCAGTTTACAGTGGAAAACATGCACATTTGTTTCACTTACTATTTCTGGTTGGGTTTTGCAGAGCTTGTTTGTATCTAACTTGTCTTTTTAGGTGAGAGCCTGATCTATATGTGGTTCAAGGTTAACCGTTTAAGACCAAGCGTTACATGGTGTGGAGTAAACCGTAAGCGGTGTCTGCTGAAGGACGGGAACGGTCATGGCTCTTCCCCACAGCCAGTCCTGAGGCTTTTCGTATTTCTCATCGCTCTGCCGTGGTTTCTAATCACACTTCCCTGCTTCTAATTCTGTTTCCCTGCACTTCAGGCGTCTCCACTGACTCTGGCGATGGCACAGCATAATCTTGTTTGGCATTCTGAGCTTGTGACCCTCTCCTAGTGCAGCAGTGTTGTCATTTCTGGGGCTGGTAGGGAACGGGTGGAGTAGAAGTTAATTCCACTCAAGTAGGAGATCCTCATGGTCTGCAGAGACCCGGGGATGGCTGATGACTTCAGCCTGTTCGTGTCCTCTCTCAGGCACTGTGGTGGTGCTGGACTCCGGGAGCCGAGGGAGGCTTTGATGTTCAGGGATCTCACAGCCAGTATGCTCTGAGTGTGTGACAGACGCGTGTAAGAGGCGTGTAAGACGCCTCAGGCCCGTCAGCCCCGGCATTGATTGTGGGATGTGGGAGGGGGCATCAGGAGGGAGAGGACAGTCACAGGTGAGCAGCCGCATGTGCACAGGAGAGTGGGAGCATTGCCAGCCAAGTGCAGAGGCCAGAGGTCAGGGTTCGCCTAGAGCAGGGAAGAGCAGTGGCCCGGAGCCGGAGCCGGAGCCGGAGCCGGAGCCGGAGCCGGAGGGCTAGCTCTAGGGATCTGTGGCTATACAGGTCATTTTTACTTAAGAATGTTCCTGGTGCCCCAGACTGACAGCTGGGAAACCAGCATTGGACTGACCCAGACCCCCTGAACGTGGGTTTCAGTTAGGAGGCCTGGGCAGTCTAAGGGACCTCAGACACTGGAACCAGGATGTATCCCTGGTGCAAGAAAGGACTTTGGGAGCACATTCCCCATGGAAGGATGCTCCCTTAACCTAGAGACAGGAAAGAGGGCCTAGTCCCTACTCCAAATGACTTGACAGATTTTGTTGACCCCTCCTGGAAGGCCTCACCCTCCCTATGGAGTGGGGGTGGGTGGGGGCGGGGGCGGGGGGGCATGGGAGGGAGGGAGGGAGAGGGAACTGGGATCGATATGTAAATAAGAAGGAAAAAAAAAAAGAATGTTCCTGGTGAAGTGAGAGACTAGCTTTATTAAATTGTGGCCCTTGAGCCGATTTGTGGCCACTGGGAGTGCCTTCTCTCAGCCGCTTCCAGGGGGCACTAACTTCACTTGGGAGAATGGCTGGTGGACGAGCTGGTTCACTCACAGGACTTGAGTGCCTGGCAGAGCGTCTCCCCGAGCACAGCAAGAAGGCTGCTGTGCTGCTTGTTGCTAATGACAACATTTGAGCCTTTTAGCAACGGTTTAGAACATGCTTTCCACCACCATGAGCTTAGGATGTTCTGCTTTCTGTAAAAGACTTTTCTGATGTGATTGATTCTGATACAGTGTGGCTGCTTGTGGATGCTGAATAGTGAAATTTGGAAGCATTTGGAAGATGTGCATATCCACACCCTCACACATAAAATATAAAACTGAGGTTTTTTAATAAAAATATAAAATTTTATAAAAACACAAAAATATTTGTGAATTCACTTAAAAATCAACTTTTTAAAATAGTGTCTAAAACATTTTAGTGAGGCAAGTGGCATTTCACAGGTAATTTCTGCAACTCTGATTGCTTAACTTAATGAATCATATCTGCTTCTGCAACTGACCTGTTGTGAAAGCTTATTTATCTGACGCGCAAGAAGAAATTCCAGCCTCAGATAGACAGATGGGAAAGAACAATGTGTTTTAACTGACTTTGGGATGCCTAAATACTCTCAGATACTACGCAGCCTCTGTTCAAAGGTCACATGTAATGCTGCGATCAGAAGCCTTCTGAAATCCTCTCCTCTGTCTTAGTGTCTGCATGGGTCTTTAATCCACAATGGTTTTATCGCAGAGAATACCTGTCGGGGTTGAGTGACAGGCTCTCCCTTCCCAAGCCACTTCCGGTTTACCAACGGTCACGGATTTCAGGTCCAGTTTGATTGTATTCAAAGTGTCCCTCTCTCTCCAGGGTCCAAACGCCAAGCCCGTAGTGTCGTTCATTGCTGGTATAACTGCCCCTCCTGGCAGAAGGATGGGCCACGCAGGGGCAATTATTGCAGGAGGAAAAGGTGGCGCTAAAGAGAAAATCTCTGCCCTTCAGAGTGCGGGCGTTGTTGTCAGCATGTCCCCTGCACAGCTGGGAACTACCATGCATAAGGTGAGTGCACAGCGGCCGTGTCCTCCTCTCCCCATAACCCAGTGTTCTGATGCCCGGATGCAGCGGGTCTCCACCAGCGAGTCTCCACCCCTTTCCCGGGCATCACCTAAGACCATCCTGCCTATCAGATATTTAAATTACAGTTCATAACAGTAGCAAAAGTACAATGATAAAGTAGCAACAAAACAACATTATGATGGGGGGGGGGTCACACAGCGTGAGGAACTGTATGGAAGGTTCACGGCATTAGGGAGGTTGAGAACCACTGCCTTAATTTTCCAAGCCAGGCCATGGTGACACACCTTTATTCCCAGTTTGACTTGGGAGGCAGAGGCAGGTGGCTCTCTGAGTTTGAGGCCAGTGCAGTCTGCAGAGTGAGCTCCAGGACATCCAAGGCTATGCAGAGAAACCTTGCTTGAATCCCCCCTCAAAAACAAAAGAATACTGATTTAAATCTAGACATCTGTTCTTTGTCAGTGACAAGACATGGTGTTCATGGAAGCATTTTGGAGGACACAGGTACCCTGATTTGCAGTCTGGAATGTGGAAGGGTTGTAGCTTTGTGTTTCATGTTTGGGCTTTTCCAGAAAATTGGGATGTAGCCACCATCCTAACTCCATACTTGTCTGTTCCTTAGAGAGGGCTGCAAGTAAGGAAGCGAACAGTAAAAAAGGTGCTGGGAGTTGGGCCCAGGAGGGTGGGCCTGTGCCGTGACCGGCTGTGCCTCGAATGGTTGTGTGGTGCTGTCCAGGTGCTGGCTGGTTAGAGGGGCTGCCTTTCAGCTGCCTCTGCTTTTCCTTCCTAATAGGATGTTGTAGTGCAAAACACACACCCTCAGCCTCTGCCTGCGGTGCTTCTCGGTGTCCTCTTGAATAGCACCACCACTCTTCCCTTTCTGGTTGGTTTGTTTCGGTTTTTTTTTTTTTTTTTTTTTTTTTTTTTTACTGTTTTCCTCTTTACTTTATGAGAGTTTTAACCTTGACGAAACAAAAAAGAAAGGTAGATAACAACTCAGTATGGCTTTTGTCTCTTAACAAAACCCTGTGTCTTACTTTGCTGAAAACAGGCATAAGTGATTTTCCTAGAAGGGAACAGTTATCAGAGAATTCAAATATTCCACTTTCCTGTGAAATTTGCCCTCATCTTAGGGATTCTAAGAGAGTTCGTGTTTGATCAAGTCTTTGCATATCTTGACTTCTAAACAGCATAACTCTGCAGAGGCGAGGTCCTAGCGTGGATACTTTGAAGGTCACTCTCCCATGAATGTAATGTGTGTCTTTCTTCTCTCTGTTTGTAAAGGAGTTTGAAAAGAGGAAGATGCTATGAAGGACACAACATGAAGTTCTTGAAGGCTGTGGAAGAACTCTCATCCACTGAGGGTCAGTCCAGAGTGTCAGCCCACACATCTGACACTGGCCTCTCAGTACATGGGAAGCCCAGGCAAATTTCAGAATGTCCTAAATTGAGCTATTTTCACTTACTGTGTAACGGAGACAGATAATAAATCTATCATTTGATTGGAACATGGTTATGAAGACATGTCACTGTTCTGGTGGGTAGTGGTGGGGATGGAGAGATGTGTGTGTGTGTGCATTTATGCTCACGCTAATAGCTCTGTGGAAAGCATAGCAGACTTTTAGCAGAATGAGACTGTAACCACATTTGTCTAGTTATTCTACGCATAGACCTTAGGCCTTTGAATCATAAGCAGCTCATTTGCATGTGTGTCTTCACTGTCCCCCCCACCCCCCACCAGGGAGCAGGACATGCGTGTAGAGAGTCCCTGGCCCGTAGGAAGGCGGCCTGGCGGCCTTCAGAGCCTGTCCACACCACTGTCATTGGTGCACGCCCGAAGCTCCTGCACTTGGGGAGTGGAATGTGCTTACCAAAGTGCTTCTCTGTGGCTGGCGTGGGGCACCTCCTTTTCCACAGTCTCCATCCTAGTTTGAGGTTTGGATATTTACTGCAAGATGGAAGGAAGAAAGCCAAAGGCTGTGCAGCCTTGTGTTTATAAAAACCTTGCTGATTGGAAGTTTCAGTGGGAATTTGTCACTGAATATGACATGCCCAACCCTAACTTACATTCAGGAGTGGGGAGGACAAAATATTTTCAAGTTGTATAACCACCCTGCAAATAAGTAATAGCTTTAAAAAGGAGAAGACCCTGAGAGAGGGCTAGGTGGAGCCTTCCTGGACAGGGCACCTAAGGGCTGGAAGGGGAAGGCAAGCACCCTGGGGGATAGGAGGGCTGGTTTTGAGGTGTTTGGGGAGACAAGGGAAACATGATCTGAGCTCGTGTGACTTCCTGGGCTCCTGCTGAAGGCACAGAGAGCCTGGGGAGACCGTGGGAGTCTGCCCAGCCCTGGGGCATGCACTGTGAATGGCTCTGGAGTGCCCCGGCCATATGTCTCATCACCTTGAGCTGACAATGACTCTTCCCACGGGACACCTGTTAGAATATATGACACACTGCAGTCCATGGGACACATGTTAGAATATATGTGTAGTTCACGGGACACCTGTTAGACTATGACAGTGACTCATCCCATGGGACACCTGTTAGAATATGACAGTGACTCATCCCACGGGACACCTGTTAGAATATGACGCACTGCACTCCACGGGACACCTGTTAGAATATATGACACAGTGTAGTCCACCGTTGAACTAGTGACAGACCTGCCTCAGAACTGTGAGTTCTGGGATTACAAGCAACGGCTCCCACACCCAGCCCAACAGTGCCTTTTAATGAGCTGAAGTTATCAAATAACGATAAAAAGGACCTTTTCTTTTTTTAAACTTTCTCATCCTGTGTATTGTGCTTCTGTCGTGTTCACAGTGATGGTCTTGTTTTAAGAGCCTGTGTAGGTAGCTCACACCACCCTTGCCGACCTTCCTGAGTAGCATGAAATAGTCGTTTTCCTGGCCTGGTGTTTCATTCCAGCGTTTGCTCTGGGCACATCTTGACTAGTCCTCATCTCCCAGGAGTCATTCCCAGCCCCAAACAACAAAGTCTCACTTTGAACGCTCCACAACTCTTGCTTTGTTGTTGTTAGAGATGTATTTACTCTTAATTATATGTATGTGTGCATGTCTGTGTGTGGGTGTGTACATGTGAGTGCAGATGCCCACAGAGGCCACCAGAGGGCACCAGATCACCAGGAGCGTTAGGGCAGGTGTCCGCCAGGCTCACCGCAGTGGTCTCCCACAGCAGGCTGGCGTGTGGGCTTTTTCCCCATCTCAGGCCAAACTCCCCGTGTGAGTAGCTCTGCGTCATCCCCGTGCTCCAGCTGCCGCCGCCAGCTCGGAACGTCACACTTTCTTCTGAAGAGCCTGCAGCCTTACCCTGTCTTAGTCCCAGTCTGCAAGATGAAACACAGCAGCAGCCTTGGACGATGTGCAAGCAGTCACCATTGCAGGAGTCCCCTGTAGTGTCACATCCTCACACCGACTCCCCAGGACCCGCAGCTCTGTGCATAGTTTGGTTCAATTCTGACCCTACCTCCCTGCATTAACCGGAGGCCCCACAGGCGAGGGAAGTCGTCTTATCAGGTGCGCCTACTTCACGTGCCAGCTGCAGACCCTGGTGTCACCCTGACTGCCACCCACACTTGGCTGGGTTTTAGGTTGGAGGCTTTTTTTTCTGGAACTCTCCTCAGACTACTTTGCTGGGATGACTCAACTCTAAAAGCACAGTACTCATTACAAAACCATTCAGAAACGGCCAAGTAGAAGAGAGGACCCTGGGAAGGTCATGAGGATGGGACAATCCAGCAGCACTTGCCCCATGGTGGTGGAGAGCACCACTACGCTCCCGTACTTCCGGAATGCTGAGGGCCAGAAGGGAGTTGACGTTTCTGTCGGGAAAGAGAAGGCTGGGCGGGGAACAGCCTTCATGGTGGCACACTCCTGTCATCTAGCCCTTTGGGAGTTGGAGGCAAGAGGATCACAAGTTCAAGTCAGCTCGGTAGCCTGGGCTACACGAGACTCTGTTTCAGAAACAAGAGTGCTTTGGAAGGGGAGGGAATGAATGCACGGGCTCTAAGTCTAACTGCAAATGTTCAGTTTGAGCCTCGGGTCCCTTGTTTCGGGTCTGGTGAGTCTGGGCTCCAGGGTTACGATGCTTGGTTGAAAAAAACTCTTCTCTGAGGAATTTATATTTAACACTGAGCTCTTGGAGAAGAGGAGATGAACCCAGGAATTGCAGAATGTACTGTGTCCCTGTATCCTGCTTCATTAAGTCATTGCTGCTGCTTAGGAGGAAGAGATGATTTCCTGTGGATAGTCCCTTAGAGGGCCTTTGACTTGTCTGTGATTGAGTTTGTTTATTTGGAATCCTGTGCTTGGCTCTCACCCAGTTGTCGATGTGTTAGAACTCTCTCTCCTGGGCAGGAAGTGACTTCATCTCCCATGGGTTTGGATGTTGGTTGTCCTTTGAACTTTGCTTGGGTTTGGTAGCACCCAGAGTTTTCATGGTGGGTGTCTACCAGATGGCATGTTTAAATACGATGCCTTCACCACTTAACTGACAGTTAACCTTAACTGACAAGTGCTGTGAGCTACTTATGACGCTGTGAGGTCACAGGAAGGATCGATGGCCTGCATAGAGACATGACCACCGCCCAGGTCAAATGCTGACATGGAGAGAGGGGAATGCATTTGCTGGCAATGCCACCCCCTCCCCACCCCGTCCCCGCAATCCCCAGACAGGAGGGTTGGCTGAAACCTGGAAGGCAGAGAGTGTGCAGGCACAGATGATGCCATGCGTGGGGTCGTCTCCCAGGGGCGCAGAATTATGGCAAAGGTGGAGAATAGGCCCTGATGACCAGTTAGAAACTTAAGAGTTTCACCCCGACTCATATTGTGGGGATGGGGATTACATGTTAAGAATTGGCAGAGGTAGGCTACAGGCTATGTTTGGAGCGATACCAATGACTCTAGGGAAATGCTTGGCAGATGTTTGCTTTTGAAGGCCTACGGGGCCTGACTGAGAGGGCCAGGTCAGGGTTCTGGGCTGATTCAGTGGCGTCACAGAGTCCATCTTTTATTGCTTCTCAGAGTTCTGGCAGTGACTGGTTCCAGGCTGTTCCCAGGCTACTTTTGTTTTCCAGAGGGGTCCCCACGACTCCCCCAGCAAGGAGCATGTTTTCCCAGAGCACAGAGGCAGTTGGCCAAACCTGGAGAGAAACCACACAGGCTCCCTCCTTCCCTTTGACCACACACATGCTTAACAATCCATCTTCTCGTAAGCCTAAGTCATTCCCATTCCTCAGCTGTACTTTGCATGTCACCTCCCCAACGCTTCTAGGGACAGTGACCGGCATTCGGACCTCGTGTGCTCAGATCATCAGTGTTCCTCATGGTGTCTGGCTGGTCCTACCATTTATCTTTCCTGTAACTGCCTTGTGCTTCACAAGCAATCTGTTTATTTCTGAAGGGCACAGCTTGCATTTTATGGCTGTGTGGCTCCTAGAGTCATGCATACACTCCCATCCAGTTCGATAAATATTAAAAGAAAATGGTCCTTTTTAGACTTCGCTTGGCAGGACTCAAAGGAATTGTTTTATGCACAAAGTTCAAAAATAAGAAGCCAAACCCCAGCAAAATCATTTCCTTTCGCATTCTTCATTTTGATGATGTCTCTAAGGTATGGTTTCCTAGATTCTTTATGTCCCTAATATAGTCCAAATTACCTTGTATTTCTGTTTTATCTAATAGGGAGGTGGTGACATGTAAGGGTATAGGGCCCCCGGTCACCTTGAGTCGTAAACCAAAAACTGTTGGAGTAGTTGCAAAAACAGGTCACAGAAGAACATTTTATTAAAGACTTTAAAAAAAAAAACCACCTTGTACTAGGCAGTTATATCCTATAAAGTTAATTCACACTGGAAGGAATCTTCAGGAGTTCTGGAAACCTTGCTGTAATTCAGGCAACTGGGACAAGGGTGACTAGGGCTGTTCTGGGTGAAGCCATGACGCATCACTCTGATCCAGACACTTGGAGGTCACCGAGCAGACCCCCGGGAGACTTTCAGACCCCACGGAAGGAGGAAAGGGGGGAAGGAGGTCTGAATGATCCAAGTTCTGTCTGATACATTTATGCCCATAAACTCTACAGCTCACTCCCATGTAGGGACATTTGACGTTAATCTGCTGAACCTCCACTCTGAAAGCAAATTAGCCTGTCCTCCTCTTCACAGAAGATAGTGATAATTGTTGAGGATGCGTCTCCCTCTTGATACGTGTTTTCTCTTGAAAGAAATGTGTGTGTGTGTGTGTGTGTGTGTGTATGTGTGTGTGTGTGTGTGTGTATGTGTGTAGAGATAGATGGCCTCATGGTTAAGAGCACTTACTGATCTTGCAGAGGATGTGAGTTTGATTCCCAGCCTTTATTACCATAGACAAATCCTGTCCCCAGCCTTCTCTATTTGTAAAGGTCAACACTGGGAGAAACCTACCTGCAGAGGCTATGTCCTTCACCCCACCCCCACCCCTTCAGAGACCTGTCTCCATATATAGGAAT